GTGTGTGTGTGTGTGTGTGTGTGTGTATGTATTTGTGTGAATTGATTCATTCACCTTTAGCTCCCTCCAATAAGTGAAAACATGTGGTATTTCTTTTTCACTGCCTGACTCGTTTCACTTAATATTATTCTTTCAAGGTCCATCCATGTTGTTATCTACACAGTGATTTTTTTTTATTACCTCTAACATTAATCATTTCTTTGTGTTGGGAACATTCAAAACTCTTTCGGCTAAGTGAAAGCATACAATAAATTGTTGTTAATGATAATCACCTCTCAGTGCTATAGAACATCAGATCCTATTCCTCCTCCTAGCCATAATTTTCTATTCATTAACCAGCCTCTCCCTATTCCCCTTTCCCCACCCCTTCCCAGCCTCTGGCAACCACTACTGTCTACTTCTATGTGATCACACTCCTAATACTTAAGAACAACTCCCCCCCTGGCTAATGTTTGCCTGCTGAATTCTGGAGGGTCCACCTGAGAGGCACATAGGTCACAGTGATGGTGGTGGTGGTGGTGATGGTGGCAGCTGTGGAGATGGGGGACACAAGGACAAAAGAGTGATCCTAGTTGGAAATTGCTACCAGAGAATCCATAGAGAGCAAAGGCCATGCCTCTTCAGTACACAACAGGGAATAGAGCCAGGCAGCAGTTTTCAGGTCTTTTTAATTCACACTGGAAAATGCTCTCCGACTCTGCAGCTGTTAATAATTAATTTACTTTGTACCAAACACCCCGCATTGTCTCATTTCTGTTCACCTCAAGGTAGGTACTATTATTAGTACTATTTTCCAGATGAGAACACTGAGGCTTACAGAGGCTAAGTAACTCGGCCAACACATCACAGCAAATGGCAAAATTGAAGTTGGAATCCACATCTATTCTAGAGTTAGTACTCTTAACCAGTACACTTGGATCCTAGTTCCTATATGGCTATATTTCCTCTAATTGCCACATGGGTTGTCTTTTACTTATAAAATTAGCTGTTGGTGGCTGAGCTTTTTCATTTGCAAGGCTGAGATAATTTGAGGTAATTTATCATGTTGGCAGTAGAAAAGAATAGGGATAGAAGAAGACGGGCAAGGAATGCCAGCTGGTGAAGCCAGTTTATTCCTCAAATGTTTATTTAGCAATACTTTGTATCAGGAAACTTTTTCTATTAAAAAAATTTTTTTTGGCAGCTTGCCAGTACAGGAATTGAACCCCTGGACCTTGGGGTATCAGGTAATGTTTTAGGTGAACAAAGAACCAACCATTTATTAGGAGACATACAAACAGAAAATGATACTACAGTAAGAAAAGAGCAATACCAGAGCAGAACACGAGGTACGTTCTTTACACAGGGATGATCAGCTCTCCTTTGGGGATTCAGGTATGGCTGCACAGAATGAGATAACTGAGCACTCTTGAAAGATAAATAGGATCTCATCAGTCAGGTATGGTATGCATTTGCATGCCTGGCAGAGGCAATGGCTTGTGCCAAAGTGAGTGGGCATGACACAGTTAATAGTTTGGTAGTGCTGGATGGTAGGGCTTGGAATTGGTGGGTGGGTGGGGGTCGGAGGTGGAAGCTGCAGGAGAGGATTCTGGTGACCTGGGCAAAGGGACTCAGATCATGAAGGACCTCCATTGTTAGGCTAAGAAATTCGAACTATGTTCCCTAAGCGAGACAGAAACTCTGAAGGATTTTAAACTGGAAAGCGACATTACTTGATCTCTTTTGTTTGCCCTTCTGTATAGAGTATCCATCGTCTTTGCTCTGCTCCGTGCCCTAGGAGGCTGACCTCCATGTGTAACACGAGTTGGCAACTTTGGGGAGAACTTGGCTGTTGGGGAGCATTGGTGGGGGATCAGAGGGAGGGAAGAGAGTAAGGTTAGATAATTTATTCCCCCGATCTCTACTTCTGGGATCATTGTGTACTGCCTTTATCATTCAGCTAAAGATCATTGCTCTTGTTAGGTGGCCCTCTCTACACAGTTCTCTTTATCTCTTTAGTAATTGCTTTCTCCTCTTACTTCATTAGGTCTAGATTTAGTAAACCTACTTCATTATTACCAGTCTGGGGGGTCTTTCATTATCCTTGTGATTTCCTTACACTCTGCCCAAATTTTTAAAAAATAATCTCTGTATTAAAATTTCCACAAATTACATAATTTAAGTGCAATCTTATTCCTACCAGGGCCTTGATGGAAACAATGACCATAATTTAATTCTAGAATAATTGCTTTGGTAGCAGAATAGAATATGCATTGGACAGGGAGACAAGAAAGCAGGTATTGAGGCCAAAGAAGAAGACGATACAATAATTCAGATAAGAGACAGTTGGATTTGAACTTGGATTGCAGCAGTTATGATGGAGAAGAGAGGAGGGATGTACAAGATATTTGGAGATAGAAGTAATACGGGGTGGTGCAACCCTACTAACCAATTGGATTCACCCTCACCAAATCCTTACTAGGTAAGGGGAAATTCTAGCCTGTAGCTTATCTGACAACAATTTCCAAAAAAGCGGAGATTTACAGAAAAGTAGAACAGAGGCAAGTAGGATTGGTGCACTCCAAACTTTTAAATAATGTGATGCAGAAGCAGGCTTGGAGGAGTCAGGAACAATTCGAGTTTTTAAAGGTTTTAGTGTCCTGTCCCACTGGGTCAGGATGGCATTTCTGGCTCCGTCCCATTTTCCAGGGCCCATTAGGCGGTACTGGTAAGGAGTACATGGCCCAAAGAAAACTTCCCAAGCTAATCTGGGATCCTTGAGGAACAGAAATGGGATGTTGGGCTTCACACCTATGCATGCAGCGAGATCGTCCAAGTAGAGAATGTAGCTGAGTTTTTCTTCACTGGTATCTTTAATCACTCCCCTGAGAAGGAAAAACATGGATTACTTTTCATTAATCACCTCTTGCTCTGCATTTCTAAATTATAAGATCCATCCCTCCTCCCACCATTTCCTTACTTTTTTTTTCAGGGTCAAATCATGTTTGGAAATTTTTTTGTTTGTTGGAAAGAAAAAATAAAGAATTTATTTACAGAGGCTAATTAATTTTGTTAAAGGCAGTGGTAAAAAGATACAATTGGAAGAGAAACTCTAAATAATGTTTTAGGTTCCTGAATTTGATATGAGGATAAAGTCTGATCAGTTCCCATACGATAGTTGCTGAATGAATGAACATGATCAGAAAGCATCACATATATTGATGAGCAACTCAATTTTTTTTTTTTTCCTTTTTATCTTTTTTACTGACTGGTAACGGGATCGCAACCCTCGGTGTCGCGCCCGCACTGGGGACCGGCAACGGGATCGCAACCCTTGGTGCTGTGTCCGCACCGCTCTCAACCAGTGAGCGGGAACCGGTCTCCACATGGGATCCGAACCCTCGGCGGGAGCGCTGCCACGCTCCCAGGTGGTGCACTCTCCAGTGCGCCACCAGGCCGGCCCTCAATTTTATTTTTATTGATGTTAATTGTGAGCTTAGAGAACCATACTTGGCATAGTAGGACTGAACCTGACAAAAATATGAGCATAGTGTGTGCTAAGGCTTGATTCATACCTATTTCTGCTATCAGTAAACTTTTATAATGTCCCAATGTCATTCATTCAATGAATAAATAAATAATAAGTGCCTATCATATTCCAGGCACCATTCTAGATGCTGGGGATCCAACAGTGAATGAAACAAAGTCCTTGCTGTCAAAGAGCTTACATTCTAATGGAGGAAATCAACAGACTGTTTAAAAAAAATCCAAACAGATATGTAACATATCAGATGGTGGTGGGTATCATGAGAAATATAAAGGCGAGTTGGAGGAAGGACAGTGGTGAGACTGGTGGGTTGCCATTTTATATATTGCTGTCAGGTAAGGCTTCTCTCTTATGAGGTGACATTTGAACAGAGTGAGCCCTTCCAGGCAGGGGGAAGAGTAAGTGCAAAAGTCCTGAGTGGGTTAGGGCTGGCACACGGTGAGGAGGTTGGAGTCCTTGAAGCAGCATGGATAAGGTGAACAACGGCAGGCAGTGAGGGCATACAGATAGCTGGGTGCTCTGTAGGGCCACAGAGGCTGCAGGGAGGCTTTCAGGAGTGAAAGAGAGGCCACTGGAAGGTTCTGCATAGAGGGGCAATGTGGCATGGCTCACCCTTGCTGCTGTGTCAAGCCTAGACTGTAGAACAGCCAGAGCAGAAGGAGGGTGCTGCGGACTGATTGGATTGTGTCCCCCAAAGTTCATACATTAGAAGCTTAATTCACACTGTAACTGTTGAGGGTGGGAAATCCTATTATGGTCATTGAAAGGTGCAGCCTTGAAGAAGTGATCAGGTTGTAGGACCATGCCGTAGTGAATGGATTCATAATAGTGGTCAAGGGTGTGGTTCTGAGGGCTTTAAAAGAAGAGCACATGAGAGGTTAGTCTCCGTATGCTCCACCGTTTTCTGCCATGTGAGACCCCTGGTTCACTGCTGCCACCACCAAGGCCTTCACCAGATGTGTTCCCTGGACTTTGGACTTCCCAGCCTCTGAAACTTTAAGCAATAAATTTCGTTTTCTTTATAAATCACCTAAGTCTGTGTATTTTGTTATAAGCAACAGAAATGGACTAATACAGAGGGTGGCCAGATAAGAGGTGGCAGCAAGTATCCTGGTGAGAGATGTTGGTGGCCTGGTCTGGGGTGGGAGCAGCAGGGACACTTTAGAGAAGTGCCTGAACTCTGCATTCATTTGGAAAGTAGGAACTGACAGTGTTGGCTGCTGTGCTGCTTCTCTCTGAGTGGCTTTTCTACTCTTGAGAATCCTTTTATTTTTTTATAATAGAATGTATAATTAGTTTCCCCTATAGCAAGATATATTTCATACCTCTTAAGGAGCTGCTCCATCTTAGTAGCCTCAGCCATCAGTTTTTGGGATGGAGGTATCTTACAGAGTCCTATGAAAAAATTTGGAAACAACACTAAAGTCACATGTGGCTTATCCTTGATTTAAGTTCCCCTCCCTGTCATTTCTGGCCTCCGACTGCTCCAGCCTCAGAACATATGATAGTCAAAGCTTAGAATGGAATTGGAATGCAGCGGATAATTTCCTGGACGTAAAATCCCCCTTCAACCCCTGTGTTGTACACACATTGTGTGTATGTTAAAGCTATTAGTTGGTTACATGTCAACACTTAAGATGACTTCCTTTTATAACACCGCTTTGGCACGTCCTCACTTTTGTTGCACGAGCAGCCTCAAGCGTGGCAGGGGCCTGGCATGTGAGTCTCACAGAAGCTCTCTCTGCTTGGGTGGTCGTGAGGACCCGCTCACTCTCAAGCTCCCATGGGACACTTCAGACAGTCTCAGCACTTGGACTCTTCTCTCCTTGTTCTTCAAGATTCTAAACCTTGTCCTTACCCTAACAGTTTGGACCTTGGCCATTCTCTGCAGTTGCCCAGCTGCTCCAAAGTCTAAAATCCCACTCTGTCCTCTGGGTTCCTGGAACTTCCTTATAATGTGAACCCTGTCCTCCCCACTCAATCTCAGCCCCCCAACCCCCGCCAGTCACAGGCCACTTGTGACCTTGCTACTCCACCCTGTTCACCATCCTGTTCTGGCCATTCCTGCCAGTCAGGTACCAAGTGCTAATCCCAGGGTGGGGGTCACTATCCATCCAAGATAGGTCCGACTCAGCTCTGTGGTGCACTTTCCACTAGGGTCACTTGATCCTGTAAAAAGCTGGCACGGCTTTAATTGGTGGTTCCTGGATGGCTTCTTGGAAACTCTCTGGTAAAGCTTGCAATTACTCCTATGACCCGGTCTCATCGAGTTTTTTTGTCAGCTTTATCATTCTAATAAGCATTTTGGAGCTCGTTATAAAATATTTTTAAAAACCACATACTTAAAAGAGTCTTCTGTGGTTTTAATATAATTGGATAATGCTGTGAAAGCACTTTAATTGGCCTTAAAGAAATAAAAATTTATGTTAATTTAATAAAGCATTGTGGAATTTTTCCTGTAATGTGAATAAAATGAGATTTCCTAACCACCACCTTCCTCCCTCCCTCCTCCACTCAAATAGCATTTGCCAACTTATGAGAACATACATTTTTAAGTATTTGTACAGTGTGATAGAAGTCAATGCTACTTAATACTGTGTCATATGCTATTTATAAGTTATTGGTGATTGTTTTTATTCATTAAGGACAGAATTCTGCTAAAGGACAGCTGGCTAGCTCAATTGTTATTGCTGTTTATATTTGAAAATAATACAACTGCAATTTTTTAAAATGCTTACTAATCTAAAACGAGCCCTCCAATAGAGAGATAGGATAGTAACGGCAATAGTAACAGCTATCTCTTTTTTTTTTTTTGTCTTTTTTGTCTTTTTCCGTGTCCAGCAACGGATCGCAACCCTCAGTGTTGCCCCCGTACCGGACCGGGGACCGGCAAAAGGATTGCAACCCTCGGTGCTGCTCCCGCGCCTCGCTCAGCCAGTGAGCGGGAACCGGTCCGTATGTGGGATCCGAACCCTCGGGCGGGAGGGCCGCCACGCTTCCCAAGCGGCGCACTATCCAGTGTGCCACCGGGCCGGCCCATAACAGCTATCTCTTAAAGAGCATTTACTGTGTGTTAAGTACTGTGCTCACTGCTTTACAAAATCCATTTTACAAAATCCTTGTGAAAGAGGGCTTATTTTCCTTGTTTTACAGATGTAGGGGCTGAGGTTTACAGAAGTCCTCACTAAGCTAATGAGTTTCAAAGTTGGGTTTGGACCCTGGTAGCTCTGACTCCAGTATCTGTGCTCTTACAGTGACGACTAATGGAAAATAGTGTCCAGTGTCTAAAATATAAAGGGGCTGAGGTTTACAGAAGTCCTCACTAAGCTAATGAGTTTCAAAGTTGGGTTTGGACCCTGGTAGCTCTGATTCCAGTATCTGTGCTCTTACAGTGACGACTAATGGAAAATAGTGTCCAGTGTCTAAAATATATTTTATGGGCATTTCTTAAAGGTCACTATTGCCTCATATCTCAATTTTATTCACAGAGTACATTATTTCAATATTTTTCTTTGGAAGCAACATAGATTTCTACTTCTAGTTATACATGGAAAGACTTAGGAGTAAATAGACTAGATTAGACAAGGTAGAAAAGAATAGGATCCTGAAGCTTCCAATAATTTCAGCTGATCTGAGAAATTTGATTACATACTGTTGCCCAAATTTATTTCATCTACAGTGTCAGAACCTCTCTTTCCACTTAATCATGTTGAGTGACATAAGCACGCACATGATAATATTGCACATATATACAGTTACTTGAATTTTTGAAAACATTTGTTGCTTTAGCTCACATTTGTTTGATTTTAGCTACATGGCAGGGCACTAACTTTAAGATTCAGTTGATCCAAAGGACTTTAAATAGAGTCAGGGTACCTTTGAATACTCTTGTGACCCATCGTGCTTGAAGCTCTGTGGCTGCTAAGACGGACCCTGTAATGCCGATGTGGCCGATGATGGCTAATGTTGCCCTCTCCAGGTTTGAAGGAAAGATCTGCTTGTATAGAAACAACTTCTTTGTACAAAGGCTTTTGAGAGGTTCTTCAAAAAAGGGAAAAGAAAAGGTATATCCTGTAGTGAAGATCACGATATCGATGTTTTCTGCCACTGTCCCATCTTCAAAAATAGCAGAGTTTTCTGTAAACTCCATCACGCTAGTTTTAATTGTGACTGCCCCACAGAGGATACAGGTTGGCAGCTCATCATTCACGATTAACTTCGTTTTTTTCCTTTGACATAGAGGAGAAAATCATTCACTGTGGTTATATCTACGAGACACTTCAGCTACTGATTTAGTCAGTCAGTTCAGGGAAATTATCTGCCAACAAAGGAAGTGAATTGACCAATGTCTAGTTCAGTCATCTACCTGACTTACTGTGTTTTGTTTTCCTGCTCCCAGTAGAATGTATGTTGAAAATGACTAAACCTACTCTTTCTTGCCTGGGGTTTAAAATTTTCTGTGTCTTGGAATTAATTTCTGGAGCACTACTTTTCTCAGAGCATCAGGTGAGAGTACACAGCAATCCATTCAATGATCAATGTTGGATCGCACATCACCTAGGCCCTCAGGGAATGACATCAGGCAAAGAGGAAATTAGTAAGAAATTCTTTGAATAAAAAAAAAATCAAATCTATTTATACTGGTAAATATTTTCACTGTGAGCATCATTTTACTAATCACATTAGACAGAACGTCTTTATAAAATATACATATCAAATCACCCTTTGCCATTCCTTTTCCTTCCAAGTTGGAAGATATCTTACCAAAGAAAAATATTTGGGTCAAGCATATAATAAAAATCACTTTTAATGACCTTACGTGCATTTCAAAGGTTTTCTTTTCTTTGCCGATGTGCAACTCTATACAGATGTATAATGAAATATACCATTTCAGGAATTCCTATTAGAAATCCATACCTCTAATCATTCAGCCAGAATAGACTTTTATTACAGGCCAGTGAGAGCTGACCATATGCACTCACTGATGCTGAAAATATTGTATTTCTAAATGGGAGCCATTTCAAGGTTCCTCAAAGCCAATTTAAATTTCCTGATTTTCAAGGTGGAAATGAAAGTTTTCATCCATCATCTTCTTCTAGCTTTGTGTATTACTACTTTTGTTACCAGATGGAGAAAACTCTTATTTCAAGAGCTGTTGTGGTATCTGACAGACATTGTCTTAAGAAAATAAGTTTAGAACAGGATAAACAAAACAATGTTACAATTATTGAACATATTGAGTTCTGAATAAAATACAATGAGAAATACTGATTTAATAATTTTCCCATTAAATAAAAAATTTAAGTACCCCTTTGTAATACTTAATCCATAATTCTCATGGTTAAATCTTTTATTCATCTGCCTCTCTTGAATCCAGTTGAGGAAACACGAAGGCATTACTTTTACAATAAAATTAACGCATCTTCTTGTAATCATCATATTATAAGGGTAGCCCTTATCTGCAGAGCGGCTGACAACCCAGGTACCAGTTCTAGTACTGAGAAGTACCTAAAAAATAAAGCAAGAAGGATAAGTACATGTCCATCATTTTGTAGTATTTTTCTGTAATGTGTTTCAAATCATCTTATAACATTCTGGTCTTATAACAACCGAGGATTGGTGAATTTGTACATAGGTCTACATGTGACGTCTATTCCTATTGCTGTCCCCGTTCTCAAAAATCACTTTCCCTAATCTGTATACCTGTTAAGTATGTTCATTATGTTTTTAAGATTATAAACATAGGATTATAATATTTGCAGATATATAGTATTGATCCGGCAATTTTTTACATGTGAGTGATATAGAATTTATAGTGAAGGTTTGGAAAAGGAATATTAACTGAATTAAATAAAAATCTACTCTTTCTGGTTCTCATCATTAACCTATAATTTATGCTAAAATGGAACAGATTTTTAATTTGTGAATCTATTTTGGACTTTCTAAAATCATTACATATACTTCTTGCGTGAAGTAAGGGTTGCTTTTATGATAAAACAAGGTACAAATCAGGCTTCTAATAGAAAACTTGGAGACGTTCAGAAAACAACCTGCTCTTTCTCGTACCACAGGGAGGTTTTGCCAGGATTACAAAGGGAGAGTGTGAAAGAAAGACAATTGGCCTGGGTGTAGCAATTTGCCCATTTTGTCTTGATCCTGAAGGAACACTTCTGAAAAGTGCCTGGTGGTCTGGCATCCACACAATTGTCCTAGACCCTTCTTGGACATGGTTCAACTCTTTAAAGTGTGGCTTCTTAAATAGTTCAGGGGGACCATGAGTGGCTTTAAGGATTTTTTAGGTTTTTTTCCACTTACCCTGTGTCCCCGTAATTCAGCACTTGGCCAGTGTGTTTTATAATTTTGAATATCTCCCTCCAGTGTCTTTTATAATTTTGAATACCTCTCCATAAGTGACGGGCGTGGGGCTCTGGTTCAGGGGTGATGTACCTGAGCTGCTGTTCGGCTGAGCTCCACTGCAACGTCTCCTCCAGTGTTCCCAAGACCGAGCACTAGGACACGTTTGCCCTGAAAGCCTTCTGGAAAATTTTGAATACCTCTCCATAAGTGACGGGCGTGGGGCTCTGGTTCAGGGGTGATGTACCTGAGCTGCTGTTCGGCTGAGCTCCACTGCAATGTCTCCTCCAGTGTTCCCAAGACCGAGCACTAGGACACGTTTGCCCTGAAAGCCTTCTGGAAACTTGTACTCTTGGCTGTGCAGGATCTGGCCTTTAAACTTATGGATTCCTCAAGGGAGAGAAGGACCAGAAAATCCAAAATATCAAAAGCTGTAATTCCCCAGTATGCAAGGATAGGGTCTGTGGAAAAATGGAAGTCCCAGAAATAGAGCAGCCCCTTGCTCCTGCCACTAGTCACAGGAAGTAGAGCAAGCATGGGATCCCCTTGCCCGTGGGATGCTGTGAGCTCACATATAGATCTAGTACAACCTGCCTTATTACAAATATAGGAGATCTTATATCTATATGAGTGTTTCCTTTTAAAGCAATTACTTTGGGAAATAAAACTCACTGCGGACAAATAATAAGAAGCATCTAATACACTACCATGAACATCCTAGGCAAAAAGTAGATGTTTCTAGTCCCATGTCATTACATCACATCTACATTAAGTACTATATCCAACTGTGACTTCTCTAACAACCTCTGCACTCTTATGTCTAAGTACCCATTTGATATCTTTTGGATACTGAATGAGCATCTCAAAGTGAAGAAAAAAAAGTATGATGAGTTGATGAATGTTATTTTATCCAACAGACATTTCCTATCAGAATGTGACTGATGTACATAATATGTTAACAAAATTAATTTCAATTCAATTAAAATTTCCCACAAAAGAAATTCTGTGGCAAGTCCTTCTGCAAATAATTATTCCTGTGATTTAGGCTCATGTTACCTATAATTTAGGCTTACTTTACTTTATGTTTTGTTATATGCTTTATGCTTAATTATACTGTATGCTTATTTGTACTCTATTCTTATATTACTTATACTTGTTTCTGACTGATCTTTTAAGCTCCTAACACTCTGTCAAGAGAAGCATGGCTATTATAATATTTATATATGTAAGAAGGGCCAAATGCCAAATACTTTTCCTTTTGATTTATTTTTAGTAATGACCTCCTTGGCACATATAAAAGATATAAGCCCTGGGTTCACATAAAGTAAGAATAACAGTAACAGTGGGAGTAGGAATGTTTACAGTGGAGGCAGCAGTGATGAAAATTACGAGAGGTGACAGAGGAAACAATAGTGATGGGGCTGGTGACCGTCAGACCCACTGACAAGTGAGATGAAACATTGACAAAGAATCAGAAAGGGAGGTTTAAAAGTTTAGAGGACTAGACAGCCTCCCACGCTAATGCTTCAAGGGCTTTTGAAGTTTTAATGTATAAAGATCAGGCCGTCTCCTAGAATATATCATTCTCCTACCATTCTATCACTGATTCATTCGTTTACTCAGTAACATTTATTGAATAGCTACCATATATAACAAAATGTTTTAGGAGAATTCTTTGCCTGCAGAGGCCCTCAAAGCTGGAATCTAAACAATAGTTATTGCATTCCAAGAGAGGTGCTAAACCAACTATGCAGAATTTGCAAAAAACGTGTACCCAGATCAGTTTTATTAGCCTTAGCCTCACGTCCACTTTGAGGGTCTAAAATGGTTGAACTTGAAGTGTCTAAGATTGGCAATTGAACAATTCCATGAAAAGAATTGCTAAAGAACTATGGTATTTTCTGTCCTATTGACATGGAAGCAGGTGTGAAGGCCTTCAAGGAGACCATCTGAGACCTTGACCCTTAAAGTCTCTGGAGCACAGACTGGTGCTTGACCCATGCTTGAAAGGCTAAGACTGGAACTGCCTACAAGAGATGGTGTCTGCACTGGGAGCAAGTGTTTCTTCCACTGTTGACAGTGTGAGATACATATTTCATGAGGACTAGACAAGGGCCATGTGGGAGAGGGCCAGTCTGATGCCAGCTTAAAGGGACTTTGTACAAGGTGGTCATCTGCACAGGTAATGAGATCCTAACAGATAGTCTATGTGGGGATGACCTGGGGAGATTCTAGGGTTTAGGGAGTTCTAAGTGGTCAGCCTGAGAGTGTATGACCTATGACAAGGAGCTAGTGTTGAGACATTCCCAGTAATGGAGGTCTCTCCGAACCAGAACCTAGGAAGGCACACCACGAAGAGTCAATTTTCAGTCCCCCCAAGGCCAGAGAAAACTAGCACTGGATTAGTGCCAGTCAAGACTATTCCTGGTCCCTGACCTCATTTTGCCCTTCACCTGACTCCAATTCTGGAAGGGTCAGAAACTTCAGCTGGAGGGTAAAGGGTGCGGAGGGAGCAGGAACTGGCAGAGGAAGAGAGAAGCTAAGCACACCAATCTCTTCCCACTGCTGCTGTCACCCAAAGCAGGAACCAGACAGGGGAAGGAGAGAAGTTTTAACATTACATGTGGTTGCAAATTTTGACTACTCCATGAGACAGGAAAATTTTGTCATGAAAGTGAGAATTTTTTTGGTGACCTAAAGTGATCAGAGGACTTTTCATCATCTGAGAGTGAGCAGAAAAGCCATGGAAACTGCCTGAGATTTCATCCAGAGGCAGAGGAAGGACAATCCCCACAGATCAGGTCTGCAGAAGTATTAAAAGAAAACATAAAGTTGGCTAATAATTGTCCTTTACATGAAATTTCAACACTATACACTGAGGAGCTATATTAGGTCTAAGGGATATGAGGATAAAAGGCAGTCTTTTTTTTTTTGTCCTTTTTGAGACCGGCCGCACCGTGCTCAGCCAGTGAGAGCACCGGCCGTCCCTATGTAGGATCCGAACCCGCGGCGGGAGCGCCGCTGCGCTCCCAGCACCGCACTCTCCTGAGTGTGCCACGGGCTCGGCCCTAAAAGGCAGTCTTTAAGGAATTTGTCCTCCAGTGGAGAGATAGGTAAGCAAACAGATAACAGCCAACATTTATTTAGCCCTTACTATGCAAGTCCCAGGCATTCATCTAAGAAATTTATACACATTAACTAATTTAAACCTCACAGCAACTTCATAGGGTATACAGTATTATTATTCAATTTTACTAATGATGAGATTGAGGGACAGGGATGTTAAGCAACTTGCCCAAGGCCTGTATAGTAAGTAGCAGAGCCCGGATGGGAACTCAGGTCGTCTGACTTCGGAAGCTCAGCTGTCAAGCATGATACTATACTGCTTTCCAGGACAGGTGTTGTTATGGCTTCAATGGGGCATTCAGCCTGGACTGAGCCAGGGGAGGTGTTTTGGATGAGGAGATTTTTTAAAAAGGGGGAAATTTGAAGGATGATTAGAAATTGGAAAAGGGGAGCACTGAGAGGGTTCCAGTAAGTGGGAATAAAAGTTGCATCAAATGCATTAGAGAGTGGGACATTCAGTCATTTACTGAGGTTTTACCAGAGAGAAGTTACTTGAGAGCTTAACCTTGGTTCAGTAAGTGGGAATAAAAGTTGCATCAAATGCATTAGAGAGTGGGGCATTCAGTCATTTACTGAGGTTTTACCAGAGAGAAGTTACTTGAGAGCTTAACCTTGGTTCATAGTTTGTATATTTCCTGTTACTTAACTCAATGCCTTACATATGATAATTGTATTTATCTCTGTAATTGCATATTTGAGCAGGGGAGCCATGAAAAACCACAGAATGTGTAGGTAGCATTAAATCAATGATTATACCAATGCAGTGCCAAAATTTATTTAGCAAATCAAACTACTACTTAAGGAAAAAAGAAAATGGCAATTCATATG